TGTAATTTAGTCACGGACTCGTGGTGTACTGTTATTTAGACATCAAATTCTACTTGAGACTGTAACGTTCATGCCCAGACGTTTCAATTATCGTCGTTATTATTTACCATTTCTTGCCATATTTGAAGTGCGCATTTACAGTTCAAGCTTTGTAATATCAAGTAGATATTATATATGACCCATGAAGTACTACAAAGATAGCTGCTAATAATGAGTATCATTTTACATATACCGAGTTGTATGACTCTAAAATAATGTTGTTCTTTGTAATATGTAGAATACAGTGGACACTTTCGTGTAATTGTATTGTTCGATCCCCGACACGGCACTAATGTCCTTTGGCAAGACGTTAATCTACATTTGCCACTCTCCACCCAGGTGTTCAATGGGTACCCGGTAGAATGCGAAACTTAAAGATAAAGACCAGTTATGTTCATGCGATTGCATTGTGAAAGAAACGTTGTGGAATCGATCAGAAAAGGTTGATCATCTAGCATCTAGCATCTGCAAGGTTCTGGAATCATCAAAATGATAAGAAATTTGGCCCATTCTTCGTAAAGTTACAAGCACTATACACAGAAAGATGTATATGGGACTATCCTATATCTCTCACAGTCCATGAGAGAAACAAATTTACCAAATATATGAATTAGTAGGCGGTTTCCCCGGCAAATATTTTATCATTATGTATTAGTCAAAACATATTCTTTCACATGATTGGTAATAAGAGCTTCCATTTCATTTGTTGAAATTGGGGCGTTTCCAATACTGGGTTTTACCTTTAATGTGGTTAGGGTACGTTTATGCTCAGTTTTGAAGGCAGAATGAGCGATTTGAAACACTCATCGTAAACGCTCATCGTAATCGCATTTACACGGTGTACTGTTTATGCTCACTTCTTTGGCTCCTCCAGGCAATTCTGGCTGGGTGGCCTTGCAGCTGGATTTGCAAACCTGCACTGCGCATGCTACGTAGACCCACTAGAGATCAGTGCGTTGACCCCATTTAAACGCGTTTATGCTTCCCCAAAATCGCTGATTTTGCAGAATCGCCGATCGTAAACGCACCTTTTTGTGAGTTTACGATCGGCGATTACGATCGCCGTTTTTCGGTGAATCTACAAAAATGAGAAAGGACGCAACCGTGTTTTGAACTAAACGCATAACAGATGCCTCATTCTGGCCAGAAAAAGCTGAGCATAAACGTACCCTTAGATGAGCAAGTGTGCGTTTGTCAAAATGACGCCTGGCCGTAATGCTCCCAAGGGAGTGGAGAATCTGCATGCATTGTGTGCGGGTAAGCCTGAATCCAATGACTAGGGTAATAATGTGTACTGCGCCTAGAAACAAAGTATTAGACGCATTATGAATGTAAGCTATTTTTAATATTATTTATATGTACTTTAAATATACCTACTCGCCTTAATTTTGTTTTTCTTGGCTATTAACATCGACACTTATATTTTATATGTGGTATGTGTTTAATTACGCTGCAACGGCTGGATCAATGCGTTATTTTTGTTCAATGGTAATTGAAGAAGAAGAATGTAGTTTTTGAATCTTCAACCAAAAATCAAGTTTAGGTGGTATATACAACGATATCTGCCTTGATGCTATGTAAACGAGGGGACACCATTATTTGAGTATTTACTTCATTCAAGCTTTTTTGTACAATCAATTATTGCTTGCACCTATTTTATTTATTTGCCCAAAAATGTAAGAATACCTAAGTAAATAAATTGGTTTACCGAATTTTGGGTGCCACGCAATCTGTCCTATTGTTACATATTTTGTTTGCAAGATTTTTTATTTATATAAAATACTTTGCTCTTTTATGTGATTATATAGATTCATGTTAGTCAAAGCGTGCATTATTTACATTAACCTCTTATGTATGGTAACAATTAAGTTGCAAAAAACAGTTTGATAACCTCTACTGTAAAATAAAATGATTATTGACTTCTCTTTTTGTGTCAATCGGGTGTGCGGAAAAGGTGCGTGTCGAGGTGAGGGGTGAGTGACAGTGTGTGAGTTCGTGCTTATGTGCGTGTGGGGTTCGTGTATGGGGTTCGTGTTTGTGTGGGCGTTCGTGCGTGTGCGTGTGTGTGTGTGACAATAATTAAACATTGTCGCTGTTTTCACGAAGTGACGGTAGTGAGAAAAAAAATTCATTCACTTTGCGTGACGATTTTCCTCACTACCGTCACTTCGTGAAAACAAGGACGAATGACTGTCTACGTCACAGTCAAAACCAGAAATATGTGCCTTGAACGTAGCAAACGACACTTGATTATGATTAATTTGAGAATGCATCACTTCATGTGAATTATCTTGAATATTAACCCCAAAAAACATGTTCATATCATTAAACTCGTCACACAAGCGTTATAATGGCAATATATAGCTGGTGATCTATTTTGACGAAGCTGAGTTTCCAATTAAAAGAAAATTAATGTGATTTTCGTTTTAAAAAAATATAAAAATAAAATTAATGATTGGTTTTGTACAAGTCAGTAGGCTAACACGTTATGGTGTGGGACTTCGCCAATAGGAGGCGCTGTCCAGAGAGACTAATCGTAGGTATAAGCTTCTTTCATCTGTTCTTTCCGTTCATGGTAGAAAATACTAATTACCCTTTCCCAATGCTGGGTTGTATATAACGTGATAACAGAAGTTCTTTAATTTCATTTTTATATCCGCACATTATATATATATACATCACCTCTATTCAAATTCTCTCAATCATTTATACCACTTAATCTTGTGTAAAAAAAATAATAAAAAAAATGTCTCTCCCGTTATCATCTTCTTCCAATCTGTTTACAATCTTTATTTCTTCCATTCAAATCCATTTACCTTTTTAAATTTCTATGTCTTAAAAATCTCTTACTTTATTATCTTCTCACATTCTCTCACTCTTTTGTTTTCCTCTCTTTTAAATCATCTCACTCCCTTTCATTCACAAATTCTCTCTCTCTTTTAAATCATCTTACTCCCTTTCATTCACAAATTCTCTCTCTTCATCACCTTCTTATATTTTTGCAATCTTGATCTGAGTCTTCCTGTCAAATTAAATCACTCTATCATACATCTCTTTCATGACACATTTTTCTCACTTTAAATCAATATCTTCGCACATTCTCTCACTCTTTATCTCTTCCTTTCGAGTTCTTTCACTGAATTATACATCTCTTTCATTACAACTTCTCTCAATTTCTCCTCTCCACTCTTTCTTATGTGCTGTGTGTATCTCTCTCTTTCTTCTTACCCAAACAAAAACATTTAACAGGATGGTAATTGAAACTAATTATTGCACGTCAAACAAACATTTAATCACTAATGCTACTATTTCAATGACTTTAGAAACTTATCATCCTGTAATATGGCAACTCCCATCGTATTAAGTTTGCATATTTACATCGGCTTTACTTACAATAAATATAATGATTAACTTGTAAAATAATAGTTATAGTCATAGCAATAGTAATAATAATGATAGTGATAATTATAATGGTGATAATAATAATAATAATAATAATAATAATAATAATAATAATAATAATAATAATAATAATAATAATAATAATAATAATAATAATAACAGCAATACCGATACAATAAATGTTATTATCAAAATGTAAGCAGCCCATTAATTTGATTCTTGTTTTTTTTAAATATCTTTTAACTTGCTCTTTTAAAACACTTCAGGCAGTTCTGAAAATGCAAAAGCATCGTTTATTGCAATTGCAGACCCATTCACTAACTAAAGTGTGCCCTTTTACCCTCACCATCAACAATATTTCCACGATGCATTATTTCATGATAAAGATGGTATATATTAATCTTGCCTTCATTATTAATTAAGCTCTATAAACTAATCTTCTCGTTCACTTTTAAAATCTGTGTTTCTTTCAAGTCATGATCGTTCATGTTCGCGTTTGATATTTGGATATTAACGGTTTTACTCTTTCACCCAAATCTGGCACAAGTGGATATTGACATGGCATTTCAAAACAATATTGCTCATTGAAGTGTGTATAAATTAATGTAATCGATTTATTATTGGAAAGCATATTACTTTTACTCTATGGAAGCAAAGCATCTTATTATACACCTCATAGATATTCACAATATCTATTTGTTTTCGAGCTTCATTTTGTCTGGGACGCAGTATATATTTAATAATTTATAAATCGAGCATCTTACTTTAAATTACGCCATATTTCACACCAAAACCATATTTGTGTTATACCTTATACGTGTGGAAAACAAAATTTTGACTTTTGTCTTTCTTTATTTTTTTTCCTTGTCTTGAGTTACTTATAATAACACGATGTCATGTATTATATGTAGTTTTCATTGAAGGAATGCATTAATTCATTGTATTTGATTTATTTAGGTAATGATTGTGAAATCTAAAAATAAGATAAACTTGAAACTTAACGCCACACTGTCCTACTTGTAGCTACTTGCTCCCTCTATATAGAAAACAGTGCCTATCGGTGACCATTGGTCCCCCATGATTCTCTTTTTCTTATGTTAGTTGAGAGCTGAGTTGATGAGATAACCACCTGTCCAGTGACCTTGCAGGGTAGTCTAATCCCTCTTATAACTAGTACAGATAAGCTTTAAAACAAGTAAAAAGTGTCATAAATTGCCGTGTATTTTGACACATTGACGTTACAATATTTGTTTTCGTTATTCACTAGTTCTATTCGTATCTGAAGTATAAGCTCATTACTCGAGACCACAGACACATATGTATATTCATATGTATGCATATGTGTATGTGTATTTACATGTACATGTATAAGTAAGCATATGTATACAGGTTTGTATATTTGTATCTTTTATAAATACTCTAAATATCTTTAACGTTTCATCATTTCATGACGCACTAACTATTATTATACAATGAAGTTTGAAGTTTGAGCAAAGTCTCTTGGCAATAAAAAATAAAAACATAAAAAATAACACAAAAAGAACAAACCGCCACTAATTCTAATCATCGATATGATTATCTTCAACTCGCTTGAATGTAAAGATGAAAAGTGCTCTGTCTTTTAAACATCATAAATAAACACTTATTAACACTCTTTTTTTAAGTGCTCTTTGTGTAAAAATTAGTGCATGGAATTACAAAAAAAAAACACAAACTCGAACATTCCTAAAGATCTACATTTTTGTGTATTTTTTTTGCCCTGGGGGGGGGGGGGGGGGGGGGTATTCACTTGCCTCCATCTAGGTGTTCAGATGCAATCGATGGTGTAACCAGGTATTATTTTAAAAAATCGAAAGAAACAAATACAATTTTTATATCCCCACTTCTTTCTCGCATATGAATTTAAATTGCCTGGAGCACAACCTATCCTGCCATCTATATTGCAGCTCAAACGCAATTCGAAAACTTTTAACATTCTCTGTAAACGATGAATATCCAAACAAATTATATGTAGGAATTGATCCATCTAGCCACCTTGCATCACTGCGATTTGAGCCGGTCAGCCCGATCCAGTGGTCCTCTTTGATATTCTCTACGATGAAGTCCTGTTCCTCTTGCGACTCGATGAAGACCAGATGGGATCCGTATTGTGAACAAGCTGAAACCGCAGAAGAATGATTCATCCTGCAAGTGCTGAAATTGTAGAACGACCCGTCGTATTCATATTCCATCGGAGGAGATGAGCATGCTTAAAAAGATGAAATACAATATGTAAATTACTCAATTTGAAGAAAGTAAACATAGTGATTATTTGGGTCGTAACTGAAATATTTAAAGAAATATAAATAATGACGATGATATGATTAATATAATAATAATAATAATAATAACAAAAATAATGTTACTAAAAATAGATGCAAAGACATGAAAAGAATTACAGCTTTAATAATCAATATCTAAAGAAACTTTGCTCACCATTGCAGATTTTGGTAAATTCACAATGTTATTTCTTACAGTTATATTTGTTTTCATGAATGAAAGAGGAGGAGGAGAGGAGGGGGGACAGAGAGCGAGACAGACAGACAGACAGACAGAGACAGAGAGACACAGACAGACAGAGAGACAGAGATAGAGACAGAGAGGCAGAAAGAGAGAGACAGATAGAGGGAGAGAGAGAGAGAGAGAGAGGGGGGATAGGGGAAGTGGCTAGACATATTAAATTAATAATCAAATGCATGACATCATTTCATTTTCTCTCTTACTTACCGGAGGGGGTGGTTTCTTGCGATTTTGTTGTGTCTGACATCGTGGTCATAGAGCTCGTCGTTGCCTTGGTCGAGGCGTCCGTAGTTAATGATTCTACTGACTCTGAAACGTTTATAAAAAAATGAAGCCACACGTTCGAAAGTAATAAGATTAGGAATGACACCTCAACAGGAATAGATGGCCAAAACGAAGAACATTTTTTTTAAATAAACTTTAACAGTTTATTTATTTTATGAGGTATAGCAGGACATTGGATTTAGTGGTGCTTTGACAAAGTCGAAGGGTCTTATTTTGCCAAATCATTTAACTGCTGTTAAACTCGAAGAAAAAAGAATTAGACGGTCACTTCCCCCTTAAAAAATGTTTTACCGACACCAGAGATAGGAAAGGACTTTTAAAAAGTCAGATAAAGACTAAGAGATAGAGAGTGAGACAGAGAGACAGAGAGGGAGAGAGAGAGAGAATGAGAGAGAGAGAGAGAGAGAGAGAGAGAGAGAGAGAGAAGGGGGTTATAGTGGCTAGACTCATTATTTAAAAAAAACCGGACGTCATGTTAATGTTTCTCTTACTGGAGGTTGGGTTTTCTTGCGATGTCGTTGCATCTGATCGTTCCGTCATCGTGGTCGTAGGGATCGGCTCAGACTTCGTTCTGGCTTCCGCTGTCACCGACTCTGAATGGAATTAAAACCAAAAAAAAATGATCAATTGAGTCGGGGAGGAGCCGGAGTCAGGGAAGATTGGGAAACAGACAGACAGAGACAAAGGACATGCAAAGAGGGAAGAAGAACAAGAAAAACGTTGTCGTTAAACCTGTAGTGCCCCCTTATAAAGTGTTTAAGCGACGCTAATGAAAGAAGACGAAGAAAAACAAGACTAGAACAAAATAAGAAATAGACGGTCATCCCCCCCCCCTTGATAAAAATTTAGCGAAGCCCGTGACAGCAACTGACCGAAAAATAGAGTCAGTTAAAGACTGAGAGAGAGAGAGAGAGAGAGAGAGAGAGAGAGAGAGAGGGAGAGAGACAGAGAGAGACAGAGAGAGAGACATAAAGACACGGAGAGACACAGAGAGACAGAAAGAGAGAGAGAGAGTTGGGGAGGGGAGAGAGAGGGGATAGGGGAAGTGGCTAGACATATTATATTAATAATCAAATGCATGACATCGTTTCATTGTTTCTCTTACTTACCGGAGGGGGTGGTTTCTTGTGATGTCGTTGTGTCTGACATCGTGGTCCTAGGACTCTTCATGGGCTTGCTCGTCGCGTCCGTAGTTGATGATTCCACTGACTCTGAAACGTTTATAACAAAATGAAGCCACACGTTCAAAGTAATAAGATTAGGAATGAAACCTCAACAGGATTAAAAGGCCAAAACGAAGAACAATTTTTTAAGATAAACTTTAACAGTTTATTTAGTTTATGAGGTATAGCAGGACATTGGATTTAGTGGTGCTTTGACAAAGTCGTAGGGTCTCATTTTGCCAAATCATTTAACTGCTGTTAAACTCGTGGAAAAAAGAAATAGACGGTCACTTCCCTCTTAAAAAATGTTTTTACCGACACCCTAGATAGGAAAGGACTTTTAAAAAGTCAGATAAAGACTGAGAGATAGAGAATGAAACAGACAGAGATACAGAGAGAGAGAGAGAGAGAGAGAGAGAAAGAGAAGGGGTTATAGTGGCTAGACCCATTATTTAAAAAAAAATACAGGACGTCATGTTAATGTTTCTCTTACTGGAGGTTGGGGTTTCTTGCGAAATCGTTGCATCTGATCGTTCCAGCATCATGGCCGTAGGGCTCGGCTCGGACTTGGTTTTGGCTTCCGTTATCACCGACTCTGAATGGAATTCAGACAAAATAAAAGAACGATTAAACTATTATGGGAAAATAGCCGGAGTCAGGAACCGAAAGGAAAATAGACATACAGAGACAAAGAATTTGCGAAGAAGGAAGAAGGAGAACTACTACATCAAGAACGTTGTCGTTAAACTTATAGGCAAAATATACATTTATGTAATTGACTGCCCCCTTAGTTTAAGCGACGCTCATGAAAGAAGGACAAGGAATAATAGGACTATACAAAATAAGAATTGGACGGTCACTTCCCCCTTCAAAAAAATGTTTTAGCGACGCCCGGAAAGGACTGATAGAGTCAGATATAGACCGAGAGAGAGGGAGAGAGAAAAAATGGGGGATATAGTGGCTAGACCCATTATGATAAATAATCAGATGCATGACGTCACTTCCATGATACCATTGCCTAGACATACCAGAGGTAGTGGTGTTTTGAGAAGTCTTTGTGTCTGAGCGTTCCGTCATCGTAGTCGTAGAGCTCATCGTAGGCTTGGTAGTCGCTTCCTTCGTTGACTCTGTGATCACTGAAAATAACAACGAAAAACAAACATAACTGACGTAAATGACAATGCGAAACATTATTTTCATTGTAATATCTCCCCGTCGGCTGTCTCGAGGCGCTCTTAGTCAGGGTACGGGAATAGGATCAAGGAGGGGGAGGGAGAAAAATAGAAATCGGAAAATACTTTTCCTTCGGGCATCCGTCAGTTCTATCAAAAAGTTCTGAAAGAGGTATTTTCTTGTTAATCATCATCATCATCATCATCTTCTTCTTTTTCTTCTTCTTCTTCTTCAGTTGCAGTGGTGGCCCAAAAAGAAAAAGGGGGAAAGGTAACGTTAAAAAAAAATATTGAAAAAAAGTGTTGTTGTTGCTAAATTTTCCTTTGTTCGTGCTGACTATTCCCCCCCCCCCCCCATTATTCACCGCTAAATATTTTCTCACGAATTGGGCTCCCACCCCCGCCGCCAGCAGGATCCGACCCGGTGGTTAGGTACAGTTCAGAATGTATGTACGATGTCTGATAAAAGATACAGCGAAGTGCGTGCAAATAAAAAATAACCGCGGAAATTTTGTTTACACCCTGTATAATGTCTCGCCTTAATAAATTGACCACTCCTTCCCCCCAATACGCTTATATATTACACCTACTTTCATCGCAGTGTCTCCCTTGAAACCCATATGAGCAGGTACAGTTGTAGCCTACCACAGTCTTCTCACACCAGCCGTTTTTACAAAGGTTTTTGCCACAATCTGCGAAATAAGTAATAAACGGGATAAAACTCAATACTGATAAAGAAATCATCAATACAAGTTGTACTGTTTGATGTGAAAAGATATTTCGGGATTTTTACAAATTAACATATAAAAGAAAAGCAAGGGTAATGATAATGCATTTTTACCAGGGCTTAATCATATCAAAGGCCACGAAGACCATACTCCAAAGCAAGGCACGGATCCAGGATTTCTGAGGGGGAGGGGGCCAAATTTGAAATTATGCGAGCCAACTAATGGTAGGTAATGGTGACCAGCATTGACGTAATGGGGGTGCAGGGAGTGGCGATTTCCCCCTCCCTCCTCCGCAAAGCGCCGAAGCTTTGACGTTTCGTTAAATTATTAGAGAAAGAAGACGATTCGTTGTACCGTTCTCGAAAATAATCCTCGTCTGAATACAGTTTTTCACCCGCGCCCTCCCGCGCGGAAGCTTTTCCGTTTCATTAAATCGTTAGAGAAAGAAGACGATTTGTTGTACCGTTCTCGTTCTTCACTCTTAATAGTCGTTTGAATTCAGTTCCCCGACCTCCTGCGCGAAGCGCGGAAGCTTTGACATTTCATTTAATTATTAGAGAAACAAGACAATTCGTTGTGCCGTTCTCGAAAATAATCCTCGTCTGAATTCAGTCCCCCCCCCCCCTCCTGCGCGAAGTGCGGAAGCTTTGACGTTTCATTAAATCATTTGAGAAAGAAGGCGAATCGTTGTATCGTTCTCGACTCTTAATTCTCATCTGAATTCAGTTTACCCCCGCCTTCCCGCTCGAAGCGCGGAAGCTTTGACATTTCATTTAATTATTAGAGAAACAAGACGATTCGTTGTACCGTTCTCGAAAATAATCCTCGTCTGAATTCAGTTTACCCCCCCCCCGCGCGCCCTCACGCGAGAAGCGCGGAAGCTTTTACGTTTCATTAAATCATTAGAGAAAGAAAAGGATTTTTTGTACCGTTCTCGACTCTTACTCCTTGTTTGAATTCAGTTCCCCCACCCCCTGCGCGAAGCGCGGAAGTTTTGACGTTTCATTAAATTATTAGAGAAAGAAGACGAATTGTTGTACCGTTCTCGACTCTCAATAGGTATAGCACACCAAAAATAAGTACAACAAACACATGTTATCTGATGATTGAAAATGATCAAGCTTCATGAAAGCTTCAAAAACAAAAAAACAGAATTGAAATCGGTCAATGAGTTGTGATTTTATACCATTTTTTTTATATCGCAAAATTACCGAAAACCTGCCAGAAATGGTCATATTGGCAAAAATGGAAAAATTGGACAAAGTTGACAACTTAATTCATCACTTTCTCGGACACAAATAATAAATTAAATTATCAGACACTAAAATATCATCTTTGAATTTGTGGTAAAAAATACATAAAAGAAAATTCATATACCTATTACATATGGAAACGTTTGCTTGTATTTGTCTCATAAAAGAATTTGATCACGAACTGACTCCCACACGGTGTTGAGTGCTCAGGGGTCATAGGCCACTGGCTTCATCGGGCAGGTAGTTCCATTATGTGAATGGGTAAATTAACTATTACAAAATGAGGGGACACATTACATTGTACAATAGGGACACACATTGTTTTTATTGTGCAGAACATACTCTTTTATTGACTTACTTATTGCATGGAACTATAAAACCAAAATGCATTTTGTATTCTAACAATTGGAGTACAAAGAATAATAACAGGTGAATGAAATGCATAAACACCACAAACACCTGGGGAGGAAGCATTCATAAATTTGAATACGATGAAACTATAAAACCAAAATGAAATTTGCGTTCTGGCAATTGGAGTACAAAGCATGATAGTAGGTGAATGAAATGCTTCAACATCAACACAAACACCTGGGAAGCTAGGAAGCATCCATAAATTTGAATAATTTAGTTGATAAACGACTCCGCATGTGGACGTTTGTTGAAGCAGAAAGCAGTGGATTCTTAACAACACGAACCCATTCAACAGAATGTCGGAACGTTAATTAAATTTGGCGCGGTTGGAAAATGCATCTTTCTACCCTGCGACTTTAATGGTACGATCCAGTAAATTAAAACAGTAAAATGGATCTTATTTTAAAATTACTCATTAAACGAAACCCAAAACTTCAGTGATATCAGAAAAAATATGTTATATCTTACTAATAATTAAAAAAAGATGTATAAACATTGTGAAAGTGTCGCATTTTACGATAAAAGACACCGATTTAGCGAAGATGACGTCATTAGTGCGCTTGCATCAGGGAATTCAAGGTCAAAATGTCAATTCAGACGCTGATAAGTTATTGGTCGAGCCTTTTTGTTTTCTTTATTCCGACAAAATTATACAATCAATCAAAATAAGTTTGATACCAGAAGAAAGCTAACGATTAGTATTTTCATTAACCGCTTGCCCCAAAGTCTCTTGACCACAGTGAAACGAGTGAGAGCTTGCGAGAGCGGCCAAAGTGTGATTGAAACTCGCTATTTGCTCTTCTCCAACGCAAAAAGAGACGACATTGTGCTGGATAAATGTATTTTTTCCGACAAAAGTACAGAAAATTTGCATATGGTCTTTTTATATTATACTTTATGAAACTTTACCCGAGTGACTTCCGGGCGCCCCAATGCTGGAAAGAAACGCACATTTTAGAAAACTTCACTTTTTCATGGAAAAATGCTTATTTGTTCTATGCACGCAAGTCAGATTGAGCGGATGATACAACGTTTCCATATGCCGTTTTGAAAACAGAAGCCAACAAAATAAGTCATTTTTGTCATTTTTGCTAATCTGCAGATATGAAAAAGTTGTGAAAATAACTAAGTCCGCCTAATTAATATGCGCATATGTAATCAAATCAAAACCGAACATGATACATCAGTGAAACCTATGTATATCAGACAGGTATGGAAATATATTTCATTCAAATATGCAAATTAGGTCATTTCAGCTAATTATATATTCGTACACTCATTATGCAAATTAGGAAAGTCAAACCGTTCATTTTTCATAGATCATATTTACACCAAATATTAACCTTGAATTCCAAATATTTTTGCAATGCCAGTAACATATGGCGAAGGAAATTACTTGGATCACCGTTACAGCTATTTCCTCATATGTTTCAAAAATTATTCAGAAAAACCGATCATGTGATAAAAATTTGCAAATTTTCAGCTACACCACAGTATATTTGTATTTTATAAAAGATGTCATATTTGAGGATTTATGACGATTTTCCGAGAAACCATTCAACAGGCCATAACATTCCACAGGGACTGAATTTCAGAGTAACAGAACGTTTGGTGACCCCAGTATAGTTGTGGCTACCTTGAGTGTAAACAATTTGATTCAATGAGTGAAACACATGAGGATATTGCATTTTTTGTTGGGGAGTTTTATACATTGAGGTGCATTTTCACCACGCGGAATAGCAGCGCGAGTCAATGGGCGATCAGCAGGCCATGTCACACATGGTTGAAAAGACAATATTCTAATTAAATAATTTAACATATTTCCCACATGCCTATAACAATGAAACTACACAGAATTGTAGTTAAAGGTATGAAATATATGTGAAATAAAAAATAAAAAATATTGTCCAGATCCCCGCCGTTCCGCCGGCCCTGACATGTAGGCATCTCAACAAGCATATTTCTTGCCTGGCTTTAAATTTAGGAATTTGTCATTTTACAAACAAACGCATAAAAAAAAATACTAACAAATGAGGAAAAATCTCGGAAAAATTATGTCATTTCAGCTTAGATTATGTGTAAACCACCGTTATGGAATTAGAATTAAACCACGTTTAAACTAATTTGCCCCGAGCCCCCTCCCCGATCACAACAAATCTGATCTCCCCTACCTTTCTTCTCTTTTTTTCTTTCCCTTTCTCTCCTCTTTCCCTTTCCCTTTCCCTTCCCTTTTTTTTAGGTTTGCTGGGGGGGGGGGGGGTGGGGGAGGCAAGGTTCTTTCGGCCCCCATGCTTCTCCACACGTTGTTGGCGGGATTAACCGAAAATGATCTATTTCCCCTTATTTTCTCCTTTTTGTTTTCTTCTTCCCCCTTTTCGGTCCCTTTTAGCTCTCCTTTTTTTCCTTTTCCTTCCTTCTCTTTTTGTTTAGCGGGGGCGGGGAGAGGCAAGGGCTTTTTACCCCACCCCACCCCGATCGACAACTTGGCGGGAAAATTGCAACTGATATCCGGC